CTCTTGTAACTTAATTTAACTGCTTCTATTCATCTATGTTTTGCCTCAGGGCTTTTTTATCTTTCTTTCACTCTGTGTGTCCTACTTTCCTGCTTCCTCCCTGTCTGTCTGTCTGGCCCCTGGGGTCTCCTTTTCTTACTTCTTTTTCTCTCGAGCCTAAATTCTTCCTCCTACTTAACTCTTCCTGCCTAAAGTCCTGCCTGTATCTCCTCCCTTGTTATTGGCCATTCAGTTTTTTATTAGACCAATCAGGTGCCTTAGGCAGGCAAGGTAAAACAGCAACATATCTTTACATAGTTAAACAAATGTAACACATCTTTGCATTGTTAATAAAATATTCTGCAACAGCTCTTTTTGTCAGAAAGTCAGGGATTATAGTGAGATGTCCTTAACCTGTGTTGGGCCATGTGCAGGTAACATGTAAGCTGGTGGTGTGGTAAAACCTTCCCTGAGCTCCTTGGGTTAAACAGACATGGTCTTCGGTATCTGGAGCTCATTTGGTATTTGAAGACTGTTTAGCATGTGCCTAGGTCACACAGAGCAAACTCTGGTGGACACACAGCTTACTGAACTGGTGGATGTTGTGGAGATGTGGAATACCAATGGGTTTTTCCACAGTCCCAGGGAAAAACTTGGTTAATGCCAGAGTTTTTTGCACCAATAGGTGCTGCCCCATGGTGAATACCTACCCCAGTCCCTACCAGACAAGTACAGGTGTGCCCAGGTAGTGGCAGGTCCTAGGGTCACCGTTGCTCATGTTCCTGAAACTATGGGAAACAACTGGGACCTTTCTCAGCTCCCAGTCGACAGGGGATGCAGCCCCAAGATTGTGCAATGTGGTGGGGGCACCAGGTGTAGTTCCTGTGTGGAAAGTGGAAGTGGGTGTCAGCTTGTTGCTATGGCACCTGTGGGTCCTGAGGGTGTGTGTGTCCACCACCTGTTGCAGTACATGCTGCCTTGGGCTTCTAGGAGGCTGGCCCCAAGCTGTCAAAGGCTCTAGCATGACAGTTGCAGCTTGGTTTCTGGAGGTTGTAGGTGCACACAGTAGGTTCCTTCACTCCTAGACATCCCAGCTCCTCACTGGATACAAAGCTAGTGAGCGCCGTGACTTAGCATCTCCTCTGGCTGGGCCTGAGGGCCACTGCAGTGTGGGGGCTGTGGTTACTCAACCTCGCCCAGCACTGCGGCTTCCTGACCTGGCAGGGAAGCCGAGGGCACGGCAGCAAACTGCTTCCCTCTCTCCCCTCTTCCTTTCCTGCTTCCCCCACTTCTCCCTCCTCCCTCCTCTTCTTCTCCCTCTCTCTCCTCCCTCTTTTTCTTACCCTCCTCTCCCTCTTCTTTCTCTTTAGTCTTCTTTCTGCTTGCCTTACTCTATAGCCGAGGCTGGCCAGGAACTCAGTATGAGCCCAGGCTGGCCTTGAACTTAGAGCAGTCCTTCTGCAGCAGTTTCCTGGGTACTGGGGTTACAGGCATTTGCCCCCACACTGGCACTTTCACCCAGTGCTGTTTAGGTTCCTATCACTTCTTCACTGGCCCCCAGAGCCTTACCTCGTGGTTTCCCCTCAAAGTGCAGTACCCCTTTTATATTTGAAAATGATTGCCTTTTAAGTGTGTGTGTATGTGTGCAAGCCAGTGTGAGTTTATATGCACCGTGTGTGGGTGCCTCCAGAGGCCAGTAGTGGCCTTTGAATTCTCCAGACCTGGAGTTCCACGTGGTTGTAAACCACCATGCGGTTGCTGCTGGGAACTGAACCCAGGTCCTCCGCAAGAGCAACCAGTGCTCCTACATACTGAGCCATCTCTCCAGCCCTTTCCTTTTCAGTTTAGTGAAAGCTTTGAGTTGATTCCATTTCTACATCTTCTTGGTTGTTTATCCCTTTTCCTTTCACATTGGTCAAAATTCGTCTTTCCGTTTCAGCATGTTTTCACGGCCTTCATCCTGTTCCGGCCCAGCGATAATGAATGTCCACAGGGACGGCTGTGCCATTGACCTGTCCACCCATGCGCCTGGTCAGCCTAGGTGACATACTTGTTCCTGGAAGTTTGCACTGCCTTGCCAATTTGCTGACCCTGATAAGATCCTAAAGCATCTTTCAGGTGGGCGTGGCCGGAGCATTGAACTTCTCTCAGCTCTTGGGAAAGAAGGAAAATGTGGGAAGGGACTGTAAAATGCCCTTTCCAGTCCTTGCTTTAGTCACAAAGGGACCAGACTTCATGTTGACCACCCAGTGTCTGTAAAAGGGCAGAATCACCCGTTCACCGTTCACTTAACCAAACATCAGAATCCTTCTCCTCCCTCTCCATCTTCAATATGTTCTCTTCCCTCCCTCCCCTTCTTCCCTCTCCCTTCTTTTCTACCCTCTGTCCCCCTCTCCCTCCCGTCCTCTTCCCTCTCTTTCTCTGACTTACACACACACACACACACACACACACACACACACACACACACACACACACACACACACACGTGCACATGCATGTATATTAAAACAATAGACAAGGAAGAAACCGACCAGAACTTACATCGTCATTTACATATTCATCTACTCCCAGACTGTTCCCTGAGCCTGCTCTGGGTGCTGAGTGCTGTCCAGCCCTGAGAAAAGCAGAACACCATAGGATGGTCCCCACCCCCTCTGTGGAGTTTCTCTAGACTGAGGTGCAGGCAATGAACACAGAATGAGCTAGAGAAAGAGTTGTGTGGACATGTGTCTCCCTCTTAGCTGTGCCATGTGACAGAGTGCCACTCACATAGCACATGGAGCTCAGTTCCCTGAGGAGGTGGCAAACAGATACGACCTCCAGGGCTTTGACTGGGCATGCGCCTGGCCTCTCGACGGCATAGAGGAAAGACTTGAAGGTGGGTTTGGCAGAATAGGAGGCAGGGACATGATCATGGGCTTGTAGAACCTGGCTGAGCAGATGAGGCGGAGCCCTTGAAGGCTTTTTAAGCAAGTGAGTGGTATGGGAATTTTTATCCCTGACCTAGATAAAGGACCCACAGTTCCCAGGAACTGCACACACAGTGGCTGTGTTCTGTGGACCTCATCGGGAAGCTGGCTGGAATGTTTGTGTGGCACACACCGGCTGTGGCATAAACTGACTGCTCAATATACCCTTAAACAAGCCATGCTGAGGGCATTGTTACCAACTGCTAGTCATAAGAAAGCCGCCATGTGAAGGTGACATAATTCACTCCAGGTCATCAAGGGGGAGAGCAGCACCCAGTTCCCTGTCCATATTTCTTCCTGGAATTGAAGCCCTGCCTGACAATGAACTAATCAATCTATCGATCTACTTTTGTGTCTATGTGGTATGTGTATACATGTTTATGCAGGCATATGTGTGTGTGCACAGGTACACACACAATGTGGGTGGGGACCAGAGGTTGGCATCAGGTGTCTTCCTTAGTCACTTCCTGTTACTTTTGGAGACAGTCTCTCAGTGGACCTGGAGCTCATTGATTTGACTAAACTGGTCAGCCAGTGAGCTCCAGGGCTTCTCTTGCCTGTGCTTCCCCAGAGCTGTGATTACAGACGTGCACACTGTGGGCATTTTCCTTGGGTGCTGGGAGTCCAGCTCAGTCATGCTTCACCAGTGGAGCCATCCCCAGGGCCCCAGCCGGCAGTTTTGTTACTGGCCTATTTTGACTCATGTGTATACTGCAGTACTTTTGCGTTGCCCTGGCTAGTGGGAGACTGACCAGTATTACACATGTCTTTTCTTTTTACTGTGGAAAAATAAAATTTGGAGGTCTGTCCTTAAGTGTATAATTCATTGGCACTAAGCACATTTTCTCTGTTGTGTAGCCACCAGTGCTATCCATCTCTGGAATTTTCCACCACCTCGAACCAGAATTCTACAGCCATTAAGCGATTAGCCTTCCCTGATTCCCCCATCCTCCAGCCCAGTACTCCAGTCTTCACTATCATTGTGACTTTGTCTATTCTAGATCTTTCCTAGATATGGAATCTTACAGTGTTTGTCTTTTTATGGAGGCTGACATTGCTTAGCATGAGGGTTAAGTTCCTTCACATTGTAGCATGTGTTGGAGCTGACTCCTTCCCATGGCTGACCAGTCCCATGGTGTGGATAAGCCACTTTGTGTCTATTCCTATGTGGGTCATGAGCTGGTTCATGCCCCGGGAACCCTAAGTGTACCTAGGATGGAGCACCGGCCCCTTAGTGGCCAGGGAGGGATGCTGAGCTTACAGGTGACTGACCTCAGATGTCCTTGTAGTCTAGACTGAGCCTTTTCTTCCCATGCTGACCGCACCTGGGATCTGGTGTTTTTCCCACCCTTCCATGGCCAGGATGTTAACTGGGGTGGGTCTCCAAGGAGCTTGTCTCCTCACTGACTTTTAAGTACCAAGTTACAGCTGGAAGTGAGGCCCGGCCTTGCAATTCTACAGAATTTTAAGTGGCTCAGGATGGGGAACCATACTGGTAGCCTGAGGCAGCTGCATACCAAATGGCTGTGATAGAAACCCCACGGAGAGGTTCTGCATTCTTCCCCAGTCCCTTCTCAGCTCCAGTCTGGTCTCCAGCCACAGCTTGTGCTTAAACGGCCACCTCTCCTGTGTGAGGAGCCACTGTGCCTCTCATCATAAGGACCCTGGGCTTCGAAGGAGGAAGGATGTCTGGCTACCATGTCTGCTATGCCCATCCCCAGCCCACCCAGGAGGATGGGCAGCAGCTCTCTCATAGATGGCTTTCCGTTGTTCTTCACTGAAACCAGTGTGGCTGTTGGGGACTTGTTATAAGAGTATGTAATTCCTTGGTACGTCCTCCAGTGTCCAGCCTGTCCCACAGCTGGTCTGGGTGGCCACAGGAGAGCTTGGCTAAAGCCATTCTAGAGAACCTGCCTCCTCTCTCCTCACCAGGAAAAGCATGAAACCTATCCTTCCCTGTTCCCTCTTCCAGCCACAAGAGGGGATTCTGGTCCCTGCCTCGGTCTCCCTGGAGCGATGGGGTTACTCATGACCACTTTTCTTTTTCAGAACAGTTAATCTGGACAACCCGGTGCTCCAGCAGGTGCTAGAGAGGAGGAACGAGGTCCTGTGTGTGCTGACACAGAAGATTGTGACCACGCAGAAGTGTGTGATCTCTGAGCATGTGCAGACGGAGGAGAAGTGCGGAGGCATGGTGGGGATCCAGACCAAGACTGTGCAGGTGCCGCCCGCGTCCCAGCCTGGAGACCTTTCCCCACGGGCCCCTTTTCTGGTGTCTTCCTCAGTCAGACCAGTACTGGTTGTTGAATTAAGGCAACTCCACGTAGTTAAAAGGGAGGTTTATTTTGTGGGGTAACTTACAAGTAAAGGGATAGGTTACGGGGTCCAGGAAAGGTGTGGTGCAGTCTGGCCGTGTTCTCTGGAAAGCTCTGCTCAATCTACCTCCAGCGTCCAGGATCCAGGAACCAAGAGAGCCGGCGCATCCGGATCTTGGGTCTTCAGGGTCCTCTCTTGGCCCCACCTTGTAGACGTGACAGTTACCGGAGCCTCAGTGGGGGTAGTACTTCAGAAAGGGGACTCAAGCTGGCTCTGGTAAACAAGACCTCCCTGGCTCATGTAACTAAGCTCTTTGAGGCATCTGGCCTCAGTTACCATGGGACTCAGGACTTGATGTTGTGAGCTACCCAGAAAAGCGGAGTCTTCTTCCCCATGGAGCTGGTGTCTCCAGGCTTTCTTCAGATTTGCCACAGTGCAGGGAAAGAGTGCTCCGGGGCTGGATCTCACCAGACCATGGGGGTCGTATCCATTTCTCAAGCGGTGGCAATAGAACTCTAGTGCAGTGGTTCTCAACCTGTGGGTCACGACCCTCATTGACAAACTTTTATCTCCAGAAAGATTTACATTACAATTCATAACTGTAGCAAAATTACACTTATGAAGTAGCAAGGAAAATCATTTTATGGTCGGGGTCACCCCAACATGAGGGACTGCATTTAAAGGGTCACAGCATTAGGAAGGTTGAGAACCACTGCTCTAGTGACTAGCTGGGCCTGGGCCAGGCACTGTCCCTTATGGAAGGAGAGTGCTTCCATCAAGGGAATTGTTTAGTCAGGCTCTAGCTGGGCCAGGAACAAGAGGATCTGTCAGTCAGTCTGTCTGTCTGTCTGTCATTTACTGTTTCTTCCAGATTGCAAGCTGACCCTGGAGCTGGCTCATTAGCCCCGAACTGTTTTCCCTCAGCTGGCTGCAGGGCCTGTAATCTTCTTCAGTTTCCTTCTTGGTAGTGCTGGGTTTTTCTAGAAGACCCCGGAGGCTGTATTTGGCAGGGGCCTGGGGTGATAAGGGGCCTGGTTATAAGTCTAGGTCTGGGGCGGCAGGGTAGACAGGTGAGAGGCTGGACCACAGAGGGGGAAGGCGGACCACGGACCTGATAGAGGTGGCTTCAGCTGGCCCTGCTGACCCTTCTGCCCATGGTCACCACCCACTGAAGCTCTGGTCCTGGGAGCTGGAAGCCCAGCTGCTGCTGCTGCTGCTGCTTCTTGATTCGGAGCAAATCCTCGTACCAGGGGCAGATGGCTAAGCTGTGCTGTCTGTTTCCAGTGTCCCGCCAACAAATGGATCTCCGGCTTCCTGTTCCTGGTGTACTGTGGGAAGGGCTCTTTCCTGCCTGATACCCCAGCCCTGCCCATCCCTCTTCCTCCTGCCTCCGTGTTTCTCTTCCAGCCTCTCCTACTGCATGTCATCCCGGCTCTGTCTGTCTGTACACAGAGCATCATCCATAGGTGTGTGAACAGCTCAGCGAGCATTTCCCAGCCCAGCTTTGATCCTGTTGGGATTTTCACCGGGATTTCAAAATTGTTTCTCAAAGCCTGGGAAGGGAATTGGAAACTGATCTTATTTATCTGCAGTCATATATCACTTAGCTATGCTCTGAGTTACACATCACCAGGTAATTTTGTTGGTGGTGATGTCACACTGTGGAATAATTTATGTAGGCCTAGGTGTCCGCAGGGTTTCATGGTGGACCTGAGGGATGCAGTGAACCTGAGATGTACGAGGCTACTGCCAGCCTACCTCCGCACAGTTTATAGTTCCCTTCCTTCCTTCCTTCCTTCCTTCCTTCCTTCCTTCCTTCCTTCCTTCCTTCCTCCCTCCCTCCCTCCCTCCCTCCCTCCCTCCCTCCTTCCCTCCCTCCCTCCCTTCTATATGGGATATATTCTGAAAATACTGTAAGATGCAATGTTAAGGATCTAGTCCAGTGTACGTGCGCCAGTAGCATAGTCATTTATAATTATCATGTGTTCCCTGCTGACAGTGACTGTAGGTGCCCAGGGAGCTAGCTGTTAGCGGCATCACCATAGACATGAGGGATGCATCCTGCAGTGATGTTACAGCGCCCACGATGGCACTAGGAGACAGAAACATTTTGGTTCCATTAATCACCTTATTGTGGGACCACAGTGGTACAATACTAAGTATGTTGTTGTCAAAACATGTTCTGTGGTGTGACTTCCTACCCCATGCACGGCCATCTTACCCATACCACCAGATATCAGTGCCAGCTGTCTCCTCCTCCTGCCTTAGCTCTGTGCCTATTTCCCCAGCATTCTTAGGAGGCTGGGCATAGGGATGACGGGAAGAAGCCAAGAGTGGTTCTTGAGTATACAAGGGGTACATGTTTTGCCCACAGGTGTCAGCAATGGAGGACGGGACCGTCATGAAGGACACCAATGTGGTGCTGGAGATTCCTGCTGCCACCACCATTGCCTGTGGCATCATTGAGCTGTATGTGAAACAGGATGGCCAGTTTGGTGAGTCCTCAGGAGGCACGCCCTGGTAGAAAGAGAGAAGGAGACATCAGAGGAGTGTGAGGGTGCAGAGGGTCTGGGGGGCACTGGGGAGTGGGCTGAGGGAAGCCAGGGGCTGCATGCTCCTCAGGTGTCACTGTGGCTGTGGGGGGAACATGGGCTCTGCAGCCGGCCCGACCTCCTGTGAAGCTGCTAAGTCTTCCCCAGGGTAAGGCCCATGGAGTTACTTTTCTGTTGCCATGACAAAGCGCCACGACTGGACACCGCCTAGAAGAAAGGGTTTGTTTGGGCTTACACGTCCTGAGGGAAGGAAGCCCACCACGTTGGGAAGCAGCCAACAGGACAGGACAGCGGGCACAGGGTGCTGAGCGCTCACATCCTTTGCTGTAAGCATGAAGCAGAGGGAGCTGGAAGCGGTGTGAGCCTTTACACTCTCACATCCCACTCCCGGTGACACACCTCCCCCAGCAAGGCCACACCTCTTAAACCTCCCCAAACAGTGCCACCCACTGAGGACCAAATGTTCAAATGCCCAAGATTGTGGGGGACATTTCTCACTGAAACCACCACAGGCCACCTGCTCAGGAGGGGAATGAGAGTCCCCGATGAGTCCTGGGCAGAGTTAAGCTGGTTTCCTGAGGCCTGGGAAGTGCCCGGGACAGTGGTAACTCACAACCACCCTGACTTATCTGTTAACCCTGTCCTCACTGTGACTCCAACGTGGAGCCCACACTGCAACTTGACCTCGCTCCAGGCCTCACACATCATTGCTGTCAGTAGAAGAAAATAAGGGCTGTCCTTTCTTAGAGCTGTCTGCTGACTCCAGATCAGTGGTTCTCAACCTGTGGGTTGACACCCCTTTTGGGGTCAAATGACCCTTTCACAGGGGTTGCCTAAGACCATTGGAAAACACAGGTTTTTACATTACTATTCATAACAGTAGCACAATTACAGTTATGAAGTAGCAATGAAAATAATTTTATGGTTGGGGGTCACCACAGCATGAGAACCTGTATTAAAGGGTCGCAGCCTTAGGAAGGTTGAGACCCACTGTGCTAATGCACAAGGCCCCTTCCCAGGCCTTCCAAAACGGCGTAAGGGAGTGTGTGTGCTGGAGGGTAGAGGTAAAGGATGCCGCTGGCTGTGACAGTCGCTGAGGCTGGAAGATGAGCAACTATGGTCATTTCACTGTGCACTCTTGTTAAGTGTGACATTTGCCCTCGAGAATAGACTACACACGTGTCTGTTTGCACTCTCCTGTTTGTCTTTGATGAGGTGGGTAAGGTGGGTCAGCCTCCGTGAGTCTGTGCTGACTCTCACGAAGACCACGTGACATGCTACCCGGCTCTGCTGCAAAGGTGGGAAGCAGGTCACCAATGTCATCCAACCTACGTGCATTTGAGGGTCTGAACAGGCCTGGCACAAAACACTGAGCCCCCCTCACTGCCTTGTTCATCTGTGCTTTGGGAAGTGGAAATGATTTGCCTGAGGTGGAATTGTGTCAGTTTTTAAAAATCGATCAAGAATGCTAGGGAAGGGAAACCTGGGCTGCTCCGAACACTGGGGTGGCACCTACATCCACACTGCAACTAGTTCACAACATTAAAAAAAAAAAAAAAATGAGATAGTCTCATGTAGCCCAGCCTGGCCTTGGACTGGCTATATATTGCTGAGGATGGCCTTGAACTAACTCCTCATTCTCTTTCCTCCACCTCCAAATACGGGATCACAGGCTTATGCTACCACACCCAGATACCCCCCCCCACACACACACACACTGCTTTCTTCTCCTCCTCCTTTTCTTCCCCCACTTCCTTCCTTTCCTTCTCTCCTTTCTCCTCACCCTTCTCCCCTTCTGTCTGTCCGTGCTCAAACACACCTGAAGGTGAGCAGATTGCTCCAGTATCAGAGTATGATAAGCAGTGTCAGTGTGCACTTGTACGGTTCAATCGGGTGCGATGCTCCGGGGCCTCTCAGGTGGTTTTGACTGATGATGGGTCACTGGGATACTTTCCCCTGCTTTCGTGAGGCTCAGTTGGTAAACACTGTAAATACCTGAGAGTACAATACTCTGCTGGCATATTCACTGTGATTACCACACCCACACTAATCTACCCAGCCAGCACGCCACATAATTGGCATTTTTTGGAGGGTGTGTGTGTGTGCTTGCATTTAGGCTATATTAGTTTTAGTTGAGTCCTTTGTAAATGATTACATTTATGTATTTGTGTTTGTGCATTACATGAGTGTGTGGATGCATGCCATGGGCTGCCTGAAGGAGTCGGTTTTCTCCTCCTCCATTTGGGTCCCGGGGACACAACTCAGGTTGTCAGGCTTGGTGGCAGTCTCTCTACCCACTGAGCCACCTTGCTGTCCCACATTCATCATTTCTTTTGATAAGAGCGTTCAGTAACTTCACAGGCTGTTTTGCAGACTACACTGTACTGCTAACCACTGCTTCCTCCCATCCAGCTGAGGCTGTGTGCCCTCTCTGCCCAACCCGATCCATCCCTTTCTCAGTCTCCTTCTGGGAGAACAGCATCCTTTAGATTTGGCATGAGCGAGGGAATGCGGTGTGTGCCTTTCTGTGTCTGACTTACGTTCCCCACACACTATTTCCCGGGTTCGTCCATGTTGTCCTACAGGATAGAATTTTTTCTGTTCAATGGCTAAGTAATATTCCTTTCTGTAAATGTGCCTGGAAGAGGTCAGAGGAGAGGGCATCAGACCCCCTGGAACTAGAGGTAGGGATAGTTGTGAACTGCCACATGGGTGCTGGGAACCCAACCCAGGTTCTCTGGAAGAGCAGCCAGTGCTCCTAACTGATGAGCTGCAGTCCTTTTATTTCTCAGTCCCAGGACCCCCAGCTTTACTCTCTTAACCCTAGCAGTCATTTTAACCCACACATTTGTTTCCATGGGAACAGAATTACTAATGCTTGTTACAGTTCTGTGTATTTGATGATAAAAACTTCCTCATAACTGAAACTTTGTGTCATTTAGCCAGTGTGCTTCTATTTCATCTACTGCGTGGCCCTGATGACCTCCATTTTTCTCTGCTTCGTGAGATTTACTATTCTAGAATCTACATATGAATGTGATCACACAGTGTTTGTCTTCTTTCGTCTGGGGTTTCATGTTCTCCAGATGTATGCGTGGGTTTCCTTTTCACGAATGAGTAGTATTCCATTGTGTGCATATAACGGCAGCTCTTTTACCAATTCATTTCTAGTGCTTTTATTTCTATATTTAACTACTGTCAGTGTGTCGTTTCTCTAAGGCCCGTGAAAACATGGCCCACGTGAGGGGATGGCTGTGAGCTCTGGGAGGATCCTCGGTGGAAAGAGACGAGGCAAGCTCTTTCCTGCCAAGCTGCCTGCAGCTCATTTGGGGTGGCCTGTTTTCCCCAGGAGCTTCCTTCTCCTTTCGTGCTTTCTGGATTCTGCTGTCTCCCTCAGCCCCCATCCCTGTCTTCGGCTCATTTCCCAGGCCCTGGCCTTGGAGGCAGCTCCCCAGGCTTTCTCCTCTGTTGAGCGCCCACCTTTGCCTGTTGTGGTCGGGTCCATGACCACTATAGTTCTGCTTTTCTCCCCGTTCCTACCCATCTGCATTCCCTGTCACTCTCCACACGGAACGTTCTTATATATATATAGTCCCATCAGCAAACCTGTGGGAGCCGGAAGGAGGTGCCTGTCCATGCTTCCTGCCTGTGGGAGCCGGAAGGAGGTGCCTGTCCATGCTTCCTGCCTATGGGAGCTGGAAGGAGGTGCCTGTCCATGCTTCCTGCCTGTGGGAGCCGGAAGGAGGTGCCTGTCCATGCTTCCTGCCTATGGGAGCTGGAAGGAGGTGCCTGTCCGTGCTTCCTGCCTATGGTGGGGTTACCATGGACAGCCACCCTAGCCATCTTGTCAATCACCGAGAAGCCGACTCCATCCTTCTGTGTTCTCAGCCGCCATGAACCCCCTCCTCACATGTCTCTCCTGGGTCTAATCAGAGGCACCATTCATCACTCTGGAACTGAGCTCGCACTTGAGCAGTGGCCATTTGCTCATCCTCCAGTGTGAACTGGATCTGATGTCCCCAGTAGTGACTCTGTTCTCACCCTCCCTTCCAGTCCTAAGCAGCCCCCTTCTTCTCACCCACGTATTCAGGAGCCCCGTGTTCTCTTCCACCTTGCAATGTAGTCAGTAGTGAGGATTTGAGCTACAATCGGAGCATTCCAGTCACCTGCTCAAATGCTCTCCGTGGTGGCCTCTGTTCTCAGGATGAGCTTTGCCCCACAAATATGCCCCCTTGATCTCTTCTCCCCTACACCACTGCCTGCTGGTCTGCCCAAAGTTGATCCATTGTCTGGAGACACCCCTGCCCCTGCCCCCTGTGCCCAGTGCTGCTCGTACCTAGGGTATCTAGCTCCTGGCCCACAGCACTTCTGCTGAAAGGTGGCCTCTTGGGCTCTGCTTCAGCAGGAGTCCTTCTCTGGCTCTCTGTCACCGTGGCGGCATTAGGATGTGAAACCCCGAACATTTTACAGTGAAGGAATGTGAGGAAATGGTGGAAAACAGACCTAGGGTTTTCTGGTCCTCCCCTGAAGTTGTGGCACACCCTCCAGGAGAGGTGTCTTCCCTGCGCTCATCTCAGAGGACAAGGACACAGAGGGAGTCCTTGAGTGTGCCTAAGCTTGCTGACAGGGATATTCTGTCAGCCACACTGCACTTCATCAGACCGAGTGTGAACATCCTCAGGCGAGCAGACATGGTAACACCTGTCTGTAATCCCAGCACTTGGGAGGCTGAGGCAGAAGGATTTAGGGTTAGAGGTCAGCCTGGGCTGCACAGTAAACCTCTTTACTAGTTATTTTTCTGGTGCTGTGACAAAACACTGTGACCCAAGGCAAATCAAGGGAGAGAGAGTTTAATTTGGCTTACGGTTCCAGGTAGGGAAGCGGAGGGGTGGAGGCATGTCAGCAAGTGGCAGGCGTGTCAGCAGGGACAGGAAGGTGAGATCCCACTGGATGACATTAGCTCAAGCCTGTAACTCTCAGAGCCCAGTGACATACTTCCTCCAGTGAGGCTGCACCTCCCAAACAGTGCCACGGCTGGGGACCAAACGCTCAGATGATGAGCCCATGGGAGGTATTTCTCATTCACACCACCAGACTGTCTCAAAAGCAGAGGCAAAGGAGCAAAGGCCTTTCTGTGTGTCTTCTACCACAGCCAGAGCCATGTAAAGGTGAGTCTGAGATGTGTGTGAGCTGCGCTGACCCATGTCTGACTTGGGCTCTTCTCCCCACTACAGAATTCTGTCTCCTGCAAGGGAAACATGGTGGCTTTGAGCACGAGAGGAAAGTTGACTCTGTCTACTTGGACCCCATGGCCTACAGAGAATTTGCATTCCTGGACATGCCGGATGGGGGTCAAGAGATCTCTTCCCAAGATGGGCCACTACATATTTTAAAACAAGGTATTGCCTGCAGCATGGTTATGGCCAGATGGAGACGTGAACCCTCTTTCCCAAGAGGTGATGTGGCCTTCAAGATCCCCTTAGATCTTAGGGAGGACCAGGTCTCGGATGCTGTTTTGGAGAATGGAGAGACCCTAGGTGGGTCTGTGTGGGAGGCCAGGGAGTGCCCTGGTCAGGTACCTGACAGTTTTCTTTTCCTGTAACCACAGAACCTAATGGACTACTGAGAATGGCCAGTGATGAGCAGGGCTGGAGACCTCAGGATCTGTATCAGTTTTGTTACATTCTGAGCTTCACTGCATGGCAGGCTGAGTTTTGTCAGCATGGTAAAAACCATGGCGGCAGCTCACCCACATGGCGGAGGGGCTGTACCCCTGAACTGGCCATGGTAATCTTCTTTGCTCCACATAGCTTGTTGCTTTAGAATTGGTTTGCTTTGCTGAGTGCAGGACAGCAGTGTGCAGTAGGGCGAACTGGGTGAGAAAAAGAAGAAACGTGATGAGGTAAGAGCTTAGGAGAAGCAGGGGCTATCTCAGAATATGCTCTGCCTTGCATAGCAAGAAAAGCTTCCTCCCTCCCTGGGATTTCAGTAAATCCCCAACCAAAGGATGCTGTTCCTGTTCCAAATTGTCAGTATTGGAGAACAGGGTGATGGAGACCTGGGGTTAAGGTAGATGTTTCCTGGGACAAAAGTTGACTAAATTTGAGGCATCTACTTGCAAGAAATGGTTGTGGCTGAGCTGGAGTTGCCCTGCAGAAGATGTAGGCTGGAACTCCTTCCCCACCGCTCCAAGCCGAGTCAGCCTCCTATTGGCTGGAGTGTCCTGGGCAGCTGGGGATGGTGGCAGGTGTATCGGGAGGTCTGGCCTGGTATTTGAGCCCCAGATTCTAGGCTAACCAGGACAGTCCTTCTTTTCAGGCAGGGTCTCACAAAGGGGAGTGTTGGAAGATGTGGCTCAGGCGTTGTGTGTTCAACCTGTAGGGCTTTCAGCAATTATTTCCTAGACCTCCATCAGCAAGGCCATGCATTTCTGTATCAGCACGCAGCCCTCGGCAGGAAAGCACCATCTCAGCCCATCTTTTTTGGCTTAATTTACTAGGAACTTTTGACTGTCCTCGGGAAAGAGAAGAGGATTACAGGGCACAGGCTTCCAAGCCCCCTGTGGAGGATGTGAGCAGCATAGCAGAGTATACACTCCGTGCTCATCTTGAGCAGGAGTGAAGGGCACAGGGAGGGAAGTGGAAGCCATGTTTGTCATGAACACAGAGTACCGGCCCTTTGACCATGCTTGGAAAAGGAAAGTATGCCAAACTGCAGGGCATTTCTAGGCAGCGCTGGGAAGGATGTGTCTGGGGACCAGTGTGCCTCATGCTTAGTGATTCAGCCTTGAGATGCATTTCTATAGGTACCATGCCAAAGAACATAAATGGCTTCCAGGAACTAACTGGTCAAGCTTAGCACTGCATGGGCAGAGAAGGGTGAGGCCTGGAGTGTCAAAGCGGGCTTCCCTGTCCCTGCTTCCTTTCCTGTAGCTTCCCTGGTTCTTGAGGATCACTCAGGTACCAACTCTGAACCTGGAGTCCTTTGGAAGGACTGGTGACTGAGAGGCAGGTTGTGAGCTAGGCCTGACCCTGCATCTGTTCTGCGTCCACAGCATCTGTGCACCTGGAGAGGAGCTTCCATCCCTTTGCGGTGTTACCTGCACAGCAGCAGATGGCGCTGTCCTGTCTCCTGCAAAAAGTCCTGTTGGATGAGGAACTCCTTAAGGCCCTGGAACAAGTGGTGAGGCAGGGGTGGGGGATTAGTGGTGGGGATGAGGGGGTTGGGGTCGGGGTAGTGGTGGTGGGTGTGGGAGTGTCAGGGTTGGGGGGCTGGGGGACTAGTGGTGATGGTGGGGGATCGGTGGCAGGGGAGGGTGTTGAGTTTGGGTTTGTACCTGGTTGCTCTGAAAATGTGCACAGGCTAGACTCCTCAGGACAGGCTTTGGGGTAATATGAAATTAAGTTTCACTACCTCCTTTTGACTCTAAAACTTGAAGCTGACATCAGGCAGAGAGGGACAAGTGACTCTTTTTTTAATTTATTTATTTATTTATTTATTTTGGTTTTTTGAGACAGGGTTTCTCTGTGTAGCCTTGCGCCTTTTCCTGGACCTCGCTCTGTAGACCAGGCTGGCCTCGAACTCACAAAGATCCACCTGCCTCTGCCTCCTGAGTGCTGGGATTAAAGGCGTGCGCCACCACCGCCCGGCAAGTGACTCTCTTAGAGCTATAACAAATGACCACAGGCTTGGTGCTTAAAAATATCAGAAATGTATTCTCTTACAGACCTGGAGGGCAGAATCCAGAGGTGACAGTGGCAGCAGGGCCATGCCCCTCTGAAAGATCTAGGAGAGAATCCTTGTCGCCTGCAGTTTCTGGTGGCGCCTGTCATTCCTTGCCTTGTGGCTACATCACTCTTCTGTCATGTCCTCCTTTGTTTATTGAGGTCTTCTCTAGACACAAAGCTCATTAAGGATCACTATTACTGGATAGAGGGTGCTCTTACTTTGAGACTCTCACCTTAATTATGCCTGCAAAGACTCATTCCAAATTGGCCCCATTCTGAGACTGCAGGCGGACATGTATTCAGCTCACAGTGAAGGGACTATGTGGCAGCGCCTGTCAGTCTGTCCCATTTAGAAGACAGATAAGTAGGTGTTTATTGCTTTGTTTTGCAACAGCCAGATTTTGGGGGACACTCCAGCTGCTCACCCTCCACCAGCTCAGATTTTTTTTAACTTAATGAGGCTGAAGCTTTGGAAATTTTCATTGTGACATTTTTCACCCTTCTTTCTATACTGCTCAGATGCTTTAGGTGTCCAGAAAAATACTCATGTCATCTTCCCTCTTGAAATGAGATCGTTCTGGAGAGCACAAAGGGTCTGGCTTGCCCTCTGGAGGATGCAGGCTTAACCCTAGGAAGAGCACAGATGTTTCAGAATCCCACGACTTCTGCTTCATTAAATAGCTCCTTCCTAGAGAAAAATGTCAGGCTGGTCCCTTGTAGAGCAAGTAGCAGCTGCCCCGTCAGATGCTGGCAGAGCATCAGCCCGCTGGTGGGTGTCAGAAGGGATGCAGGGTACTTATAGAGTGGAGCTAGCCCAGGAGATCGGAACTGGCTCATGGGTAGTGCCATCCCACCCCAGAGCAGCCCTGTGGGGATGGGTAAAGCTGCCAAGGTAGGATGGGGACACACTAGGTTTAGAGGGCTGTTTTTAAGAGTGTGAGAACTAGGAAAGGATGCTGCTTTTATGTCCCACTCATCAGTTTGGTATGTAGCTACTTGTCCCTGTTTGTGGTAAAACTCAATAACCTGGCTTCGTCTGGAAGGTTCTCTCTGTCCAACATTTCCTGCATGACTCTTCCCCCTTTCCTTGGATAATACTTGGGCAAGGCTCAGCTTAGTGTGTCCTCTGGAGGAACTTTAGGCCCATAGGTAGCATCAAAGTACAGAAAAGGGCTCAGTGCTTGCTTTACCTGGAGAAGGTGAAATGCACGGAGTGTTGGGGAGGTTGGGGTAGGGCAGAGGCTCAGCTGGTTGTACTTCAATGGGTTCTGGCTTCACCATAGCCTTTCTTCCCTTTCTGCACTGTAGTGTGATGATATGGCTGGTGGCCTCTGGTCCTCGCAGGCTATATTGGCGATGAAGGAGCTAACAGACAGTCAGCAGCAGGACCTCACAGCCTTCCTGCAGCTGGTGGGGTGCAGGGTACAGGGTGAGCGTCCTGGCCCGAAGGATGAGGTCAGCAACCAGAAGCTCTTTGCAACAGCCTACTTCCTGGTCAGTGCACTAGCAGGTATGGAAACCAAGACAAAAAAGAACAGGACAACCTCTGCCACAGCTGGGAAATGGTATTGCTTTCTGTATGTGCTTCTGGGACACAGAAGCAATGATGACCAAAGATACTTTCTCTCCTTTTCAGTCCTGAGGATAAGAGTGGGAGGTCAGTGGAGTCCTGCCTGTATGTCTGTCCTACTCAGGGAGGACTACCTTCTGGTCCCCTCACTGGAAGTCCTTTTCAAATACAGCCTGTGATCTACACCAGGGCCCAGCCAGCGCTGTGCAGCAGACACTTTCCCCTGGCAGCTATTTGTCCCGACCTCTCCTTCCTCTCTGCACACCTGTGCTCCACTTCATGGTACTCTCAGGGTTCAGAGTGTGTGGTGTGTGATGCACAAGGCAAAGAGGCAGGCTATAGCTGGGCTTCTGCATAGGTCTTCCACAGCCACTTATAAAAATAATCTCTCAGGCTTATATTAATTACAAACTGTATGGCCAATGGCTTAAGTTTCTTGCTAGCTAGCTCTATCATCTTAAATTAACCCATTTCTATTAATCTATGTTTTGCTACATGGCTGTGGCATTACCAGTCTGCTGGCATGTTGCTCCTTGGGAGGCGGGCTGGGGTCTCTCAGACTCTTCCTTTCTCTTTCCTGTCTCTCTCCTTGGATTTCCCGCCTGCCTCTAAGCTGCCTTGCCATAGGCCAAAGCAGTTTATTTATTAACCAATGGGAACAACATATATTCACAGTGTACAGAAAGACATCCCCCAGCAGGTCTTGAAATGGCTTTCCAGGGGGAGTGGATTTTGGTTACTGTCAAGTGGAGACCATCATGCAGGAAGGCTGGTGGTGCGCTGTGAAGCAGCTGTAGCCACATCCCATCCTCGGAGGACCAACTTTCCTCCAATGCATGCTAATAGGCACTGGGTCCTCATACAGGCTCTTTCTTCCAGCACTACAGAGGGAAAGGCCCAGGGAACCTTCAGTTTGAACAATGAATCTGAATGTTCCAGCTTGATGTGCTGATGGGTAAACTCTGTATCTTGCTCTGAACCACAGATAAAGGCTTTGAGTGGTTGACTGGGACCAGATCTGAGGCACAGGCTCTGTGAAACTCCACCTTGAGCCTGGATCCATGTTAACAGTGAACATGCTTGAGTACAGGCTTTCTGTCAGCTTTTGAGAAGCCTTCTCATATATCCTATACTACTCAAGCATTTCTATATAGAATAGCCCATGACTGACTATACCTCAGTCCCATTCTCTCAGACCTAGACACAGCTCTGCAGCTGAACACAGCTGGCCACATAAGGGACTGTAACACAAAAGTTATTCCCGTTTGGAAGCTGGATGCAGGGAAAGCTTCAGGTGTAGCTAGTGTCTACATCAACCCTGCCCTTTCTATCGGAGCTGTGATCTCATTACAATAGCTACAGCAGAAGTTGGCTGATTTAAAGCTTTTGGTAGTATTCTCGTTAATCCTGGACCCTTCCTTGGCCAATGCTTCACAGACAGCATGGTATTCTAAGATCTGGGGATAGTGCTGGAATAGAAAGTGGTCCTCTTGGGCCCTGAGTGTTATTTGGCTTTATCTTGCTTTGCTGCTTCCAGCACTGCAGTCTCCCATCTCCTGGAAAGCTTCCCTGCCTGTGTGACTATGAGCAAATCCCAGCTCTCAATACCACAGAACTTCCTTTGTAACTGAGTCACTTTCTCTAGACTCCCTGGGCAGCCTTACACTGTACCCCAGGCAGTTAGGGGAGAGCAGAGCATGGCTGGCCTAGGACATGCATCAGGGTGTGAGCTGTCTTTGTGTTGTGCTAACAACTTGGGATAAGCATCTCTAGGGATGAGGATGCAGCGCTAACTGAATGAAGCGGGAGGCACCCTGGAAGGTGAAGGGGCTGAAGTGTGTTAGTGCTTGGTTGACACTACATGCCCTTCTCAGCCCTGTGCTTTCTATCCCCATCTTCATGGAGGGGGGTGAGGGCCTCCTTGAGGACACAGAAAACTGTGAGCCTTCTCAGAGGCAGAGGCATGACCGCACTGGAAGGTTGTGTTGGGGTTCTGATGGGATCACCTAACAGGGTTGCCCCTTCCTTCAGCAGCCTTCAAATTTTGGGGATGGCCATATCCTTTTGTCCTCTCTGGGTCACAGTCTCAGTGACACATCATCTTTAATACAGCTAACAGATGTAGGTGGTCATAAAGTTCATCAGTAGTCACTATACCAGGTGACTTAGCAGCTCCAAGGTCGTGCCCTGGGGATCAGGGTCATTTTAGGAGATGTTTTTTACTGGGAGGTATTGTATAGAGGCTTGAATGACACTGACTTGGATTCCCTTTGGCAGGGCCAGGAGCTGGCAGGTACCTCTGGTGTAGCCCTAGCATCTCACAATTCTGACACAACTTTGTTGTGTCATGATTAGTCCTCTTGGAGCTTTCTTTCCCAAAGGGACTGGTTTATGTTTGTGCGGTGCCCTGACATGTGCTCCTAAATACCCTCTAGTGTGTCAAATGGACAGGCTTCTTGAGTACACCCTGAGCTATGGTCTTGCATGTTTACATGTTATATATTTACATGCCTGTAAATCCCAGTACTTGGAAGGGGCAGGGTTATTGCAAATTCGAGGCTATTCTGGGTTACATAGCAAGAACGTCTTAGAAAACCAGAAACAAACAGAAGCTCCAGCCCAGTTACCTGGAAGCGCTCTAACCACTCCAGCACTGCTTTTTTGAGCCAATTATTCTTTCCCAGAGCCCATGCCCTTCTTTCTGGCTAGCAAATTTGATGTCAACGAACATCCTCTGGTGACTAGATTCTCTGGAAGATCCCACAGAAAATCAGCACTGCCTTCAAATGTGACCTCACTCTTGTTTTTGAGAGTACGGAGCTCTGGCTGACCTAGAACCCAGACACTGCCTGTTTCTGCCTCCCAAGTGCTAGGATTAAGGGTATGCCACCACGCCTGGCCTGGCCACACATTTACTTTCTCTAACTGGTTGTAGCAAGGTAATGAAATATAAATTGGGCACCTAGGGATGGATGAAGTGTTCTTTTTAATACAAGGGCTCACTGCATAGTTCAGTCTTGCGTCAAACTTGTCATTCTTCTGCCTAACCTCTCAAATGATGAGTTTACAGGCATGCATCACTATGCTTGGCTTCTACAAACTTGTTTTTGACAGTGACCATGACCACAATGCATGTCTTCTACAGAAATGCCAGATAATGCCACGATTCTCCTGGGGACATGCTGTAAACTCCACATTATTCATATGCTCTGCCACCTGGTAAGGGACCTTCAGATGGGACAGTGGGGTGGAAAGGAATGGGGAGAAGGAGGGACAGAGGCTATCCAGCTGGTAAAACACCTCTAGTTTCTCAGCTTGAGACAGTGTAAGCACGTGTTATCATTAACACATGGGTGCTGTGGGATGTCTGGGGTCCAGAACAAAGTGTTCAATGAACTGGCTAGCAAAGCAGCCCAGTGTGCAGACTCCAAATCATGTTTTTTCCCCAGTTTGGAGACTTGGCCATAGCTCAGTAACGTGAGGCCCAACACTCTGTTTTTGGTCATCACAGTGTGTGGGACAGTTTGAAGCTGCTTTCTGTCAGATTTGCCAGGAAGCACTCAGGGCTGCTGTCTGGAGGAGATACAGCTTCTTCCATCCTCTTACAGTATCAGCAGCTTGGTGCTCTCTGCAAATATCACTGCAAGAGCAAGTGATCATAATGAGTCTCACCCCAGAGTGGAGCCAAGTTCTCGTTACAGAGAGGGCAGTTAGCAGAGGGACCAGCAACAGGCTGCCCCAGAATGCCCAGAGGCAGCTCCTCTCAGTCTGTGTTGGCTCCACTCTGACCCTACAGAGCAAAGCTGGCGATGTAGACTGCCCAGACAGGCCTACCTACCTTCGTTCTGCATGTGCTCTGAGAATACCAAACTATGCACATGGTCTTGGATGTTGTTCTGCATGGAGGATGTGTCAGAAGTCAAGAGCACTGGCTATCTTATCACACAGCTGGACAGGTGCCATCAGAATCGACCAGATTCTGTGCCCCAGGGTATACTCAACTACTTGGAAGCATGCCACCATATCTCAGACCAGCTGAGGGTGATGGCTGCTGCTGTAGTTTGATTATAGAAATGATATAATTGTCCTAATTGTATGAGATGATGAGCAAAACAGCTCTGTTCCCTCTTGCAGCAGTGAGTGCTCAGCACTTCCAAAGTCTGTTTCTTGAGTATTTAGGGACTAATTAAAGCCATTCAGGAAGTACACAAAGAGAGACTTGTGCTATGGGAGCCAGGCCCTAATGAACTCACTTAGCACCCCTTTGCAGTCAGCTCTGGCTCTGGCTCTGACTTTGGCTGATGTCCCATGACCAGCAATGAACCAGTTCCAGAATGGACGGACTCCTGCTGCCTGCAGATGCACCTGCCTGCTTTTTGGAGGCTGCTCAGCAGACAAAACAGGTTTCTTTAAAGGAAGATCTTCCTAGGTTTCTCAGGTAATCTCTGTAGATTTCCCACTGCTCTCTTTAGAAGAGCCAGGCTCCTGCAAGAGTGGAGTATTGTGTACTTCTTACAGTGACGTACCTAGAAAAGGGCACACAATCTATCTCCAGTCCAGTCCTGTTTGAAGGCCCAGGTAACTCTGAAATCGTCTTCTTTAAGGGTTTTGGGCAAACAGTGTCAGATATACTAACCATGTGCTGTGAACTGGTTAAGAGGGTAGATTCGATCATTAGAGAAATCTAGAAAACATTCCCAAAGGATCTAGAAGAGCAAGGGCAAAGGTTCTTGAAGCAGGAACACAATTAACAAATGACAGTACCTACACTTGAGTTCACCCAAATAGCTAAGAAATTCTAATATTGCCATTTACATTAATAAACAAAACCACCAATGGCCAAGTGGTGAGTGCATACCTGCCCCAGAGCAAAGGAAAAACTGTACATTGCAGAACTCTACAATTAGCAAAAAAGTGACTGGAACGTTAAACATCGTGGGAAGTACCTGTTGTATGTCCCCTGCCCTTCACTAACCCTGATGCTGCCTGAGGAGAGAATGGAAATGGCCGCAGGCCTCATTGTTCTACAAGCCTGCAACTGTAACTGCCCAAGCCAGAGAACTTACAGCTTTATGTCTACTTTGAGTAACTGGCTTGTGTAAACAGGGCTCCAAAGAAGGTGGTCACCTGAGTTGGGCCTCTCATAATCAGCAGGGCTCTTACCTTGTTACAGACTTTGGGTCCTGTGCCCACACTGGGTGGATGGCAGTGCGGTCTGCATTTTGCTCCTTCAGGCTCTGAAGTACCATAGTTGAATGCATGGCAGCCATCTCCTCCTCAGCCTACAACTTGGAGTTGTGGGGCTGCAGCTGCTCTCTGAAGCCCTAGCCTCACTTGCACCTGTCTACCAGGAGCTAGTCAAGTTCCCAGTCAGGTCCTGTAGCTCCAAGATTCCAGTGATCAGGGCCCCAACCTGCACCTACCCACAGGGGGCACTAGGGAACTTTTGTGTCTACAGTTTTGGAACTGTAGCTGATGGTGCAAAATGCCTCGGCACCACTCAGGCTTGTAGCTGGGATCACATCTGTGGTCTTCGGCTTCATGGCAAACAATGTCACAAGTATTGGCCTCTCTATTACTTATTATTTGCATGATCTAGGTATATTTCCACCCTGGCCTTGCAGCCAGACCGCAAGGGACACCAAAGGACAGGCTTGCACACCACTCACATTAACCACGGCACAAAGAGGAATTCTCCCTCATGCTCTGCACCTCCAAGCATGGAAACCAGAACTATTGGGAAGACCCAAGGAACTTGTCTTCCACAGTCCATTGACTTTGGGTTAGGGCTGCTGGTACTGAGTAAAACTTGTGCTTATGCCTTGGATCCTGGAGGAGGTACTGTCTGGATCCCACATCTCCACAAAAAGTAGTTATAAAGCCCCAGCAACTTTAATCACCCCTATGGGACTAGGGAAGGGCTCCATTATGTTTTAAAACCTTAAGTCCCATGGCTCCCAGAGATATTTATCTGGTAAGACCTGGAGAAAGGAGGTGGTTCCAGCCTGCGGCTCTAGAATTGTAGGTGTTGGTACGACAGACCCAAGCATCTCCTACAACTCTTGGTATGATCTATGCGCACCTGTACAGACCTGGGGACAGCTCTTTCTGCATCTCATACCAGCGAGTCCACAGAACAGAATGCGCTTTTGGAAGCCTGTACTCAGGGCAAAGCCCTACAGCTACCTTCATGAACTACTGTGGTTAGGATTGTTGCTGCACCCCAGCCCCTAACAATGGGAACCAAATGAGGCACTGCGTGGCAGTTACACTTTTGAGCTCATGTATAACTAAAGCCCGAGCATCCATGCAGCTGACATTTAAATGAACAAAAATTCCTGCAGGAAGTGCTTCAAAATATTGGATGTTCTACAGATGTACAGGATGCAGAGAACAAGCTAGCTCCAAAGAGAGTAGCTGCTCTCTAAAAATAATCTCATAGAAGGAAGTCTGAAGAGAGTTTACAGTAACAATCCCAAGAAAACATTAATGAGCTCCAAGAGAATATAAACAAAATAATACAGAGAAGAAAGAAAAAATAGTTCAGGATATAAATGAGAAATTAAAACTTAGAAATTGGCCGGGTGGTGGTGGTGCACGCCTTTAATCCCAGCACTCGGGAGGCAGAGCCAGGCGGATCTCTGTGAGTTCAAGGCCAGCCTGGACTACCAAGTAAGTTCCAGGAAAGGCGCAAAGCTACACAGAGAAACCCTGTCTCAAAAAAAACGAAAAAAAAAAAAAAAAACTTAGAAATCTTACTTAAAAAAACTAACAAAGACTCTTAATTCTGGAGCTAACATATCCAGTCAGTGCAATAAAACACACAAAGCTCTGACACCAGGCAGGAAGCAGCGCAAGGGAACACGACGGAATCTAAGGATAATGCTTCCAACTACCTCAGTAAGACAAGGGGGCTGGCGTGGGTAATGGGGAAAAGCTACAAGATATCTAGGACGGAACTATGTGAACAACTGTTCGCACTGTGGGGACCCAGATGGGGAAGGAAAAGAGTCGTTAAAAACTGGCTCCCTGAAACAGCAGCTGAAAACCTCAAATCTTCAGAGATACGGATATCTACACACCAGAACTTAAAGGACCCCAACTAAGTTAATAAGCAGAGATGTCCGCACCAAGGCACAGTCTAGTCGACACATCAAAATCACGAGAGAAGGAAAAGCAAAACAAGTCACACAAGGAATGCCCCTGGACGGAAGGAGATGGCACAGTATGCTCTAAACACTGAAAAAGTAACTGTCAGCCAGGAAACCTTAGCCTTTAAAGGTGAAGAGGACAAAGATGGTGTCACACAAGCAGAAACCAGGGGAATTCAGGTCCGCTGGACCAGCACTGTAAGAAATACTAATGGGAGTAGATACCACACTACAAAGATCAGGTGCCATTATCAAAGCATGTGATATATAAACCCCACTAGCAAAACAGATACATGAAAGGAAGGAGTAACACTAAAACCTCAGCATGACAGGGTATCCCAAAATCACAAAAGTGACAGGCAAACAAATCTGTACAAAACAAGAAAAATTATGCAACATAATGACATGGAATGTAAATGAATTAAATTCACCAACCAATAGACTAGCTGAATAAGTGAAAAAAAAAAACCAGCAAGAAAGAGCTGGGCATGGTGGTGAATGTTTATAATCCTAGAAACTGGGATGTTGAGGCATCTTCAGCTACATGTAAAGTTTAAGGGCAGTCCGCGCTGCATGAGTCCTGTCTCAAAAAAACAAAAACAAAAGTACCACCCACCAGATTTAACTATATGCTGTCCACAGACACAAGAAATCCATTTACTGATGTATGTGTATGTGGTGGCTTGAACAGGTATGGTCCCCATAGACTGACTGATGTGTTTGAATGCTTGGCCCATAGGGAGTGGCACTATTAGGATGTGTGGGCTTGTTGGAGGAAGTGTCACTGTGGGGGCGTGCTTTGAGGTCTCATATGCTCACGCTGTGCCCAGTGTGGTACACAGTTGCTTCTGCTGCCTGAGGATCATGATGTAGAACTCTCAGCTCCTTCTCCAGCACCATGTCTGCCTGCACACTGCCATGTCCCACCATGATGATAATGCACTAAACCTCTGAACTGTAAGCCAGCCCCAATTAAATGTTTTACTTTATAAGAGTTGCCTTGGTCACGGTGTCTCTTCTAGCTAAGACAGTGTATTAAAAAGGATGGGGGAAATAAAGCACCCAAATGGAAAACAAAAGCAGCAGGAGTTATACTCATATTCTCATAGGGTAAAGTGGACTTTAAATGAAAAACTAGAGAGAGAATGCAACCACTAAATATTCCTAAATAGATCAGTTCAGCAACCAGGTGCAGAAGTGCAAATATGTATGGATCCAACATTACCAATCCCATAGCCAAAACAACCGTAGATGTGAAAGCAGAGATGAACACAGCTGCAGTCAGGGACTTCCCTTCTTTTTCCACTATGGGCAGCACATTTAAACATGAAATTAAACACCTCAGTCTAAACCAGTGAGTGTTAGCAGTTACAGGGCAGCTTAACCATCAGCAGTAGCAGCAAATTCATTCTTACCAGAACATGTACTACTCAAGACTACAGCATGTTAGGCCACAAATAAGTCTCAATGCAATTTTTTTAAATTTGAAGATTACAAAAGAAATCAAGAATAACCAGTTATCCACATTCAACCCTGTTATATCAGGAATAAGAAAGGGCACAAGACAGACAGGCTGAAAATCAAATTCAGGGAAAGGACACTCAGGGTTCTTGCAGTGGTAAAGGATTTGATGAAGCCAAGGCACTGACAGGTTCCACGGGGATGTCAGACATGATATATAAATCAGCCAAACAATTGTGAGGGACACATAAGATGTTATTTTATGGGTGATGAAGAGGAAGAAGTTTGTAGAAATTTTTCTACCAAGGCCCCACTAGTTCTTCACTTGCACTGTTTCACCCTCCTCTAAGCTAAAGCTGGTCTGCGGATACACAGCTTGCAATCTTTTACCCCGTGGCATACTACCCTCCATTAGCCTTGTTATCTGCACATTAACCACATGCTGCAGCACCCATCTGCTCAGTTTTGAATTCAGTAGAACTTCATTAGTGCTCTAAAGCCTGAATCAGTGGTCACTCCTGCCCCCGAGACATAATTCAGGGTAAATCTTTCTGCTAGTTTTCTTTTTTAAAATTTATTTATCTGATGACTGTGTTGTCTGCATGTGTCTATATACAGCATATGTATGCCTGATTCCCTCAATGGTCATGGAAGGGAGTCAGATCCTTTGGATCAGGAGCCACCATGTGGGTACTGGGAACCAAGGGTCCTCTTTAAGAACAAAGTGTGCTTAACTGCTGAGCCACCTCTCCAGCCCTCATGGGCTAGTTTCTGAATAAAGGCCTTAGCAGTGGTTCTCAACCTTCCTAATGCTGCAACCCTTTAATATAGTTCCTCATGTTGCTGTAACCCCCAGCCATAAAATTATTTCATTGTTTCTTCATTACTAACTTTACTACTGTTATGAATCGTAATGTAAATATCTGATATGCAACCTCCTGTGGGGTCTTGACCCATAGGTTGAGAACTGCTTCCTTAGAGCCATAGGTTGAGAACTACTGCCTTAGAGTCGATGGCTACAAATGAATCATTAGATACAATACACCGATAACTAAACCTTTTTGTACACTGCAGTTTTACACCACATTAAATCAAGGGGCCAAAGTATTCAGATTTTTAACTGAAAAAAGAAATCAATGTAGCTAAACTAAGTCTTTTTTTTTTCCACAGCAGTTTAGTCTCGAGGTTTTTTGTTTGTTTGTTTTCTCTTTATAAAACCATTGAAAATGATGGAGGTGCTAGCTGGTGCCACTATAATTCAGTCATTACTTTATAGTTTCTACTTAAGAGCTAATTCATGCTTAATTCTGTTCCTTTAAAAATATTTTTTTAGAAACCATTATTACTCCTGAAGACACATGCTCTAGGAATCTCTCTTATAAAAAAAAATTAAAGGTACAATCATGCTCATCTCTTCTTTCTAAATCCAATTATCCACACACATCCTAACCTTGTCACTTGTCAGTTAACTCACGACCTCACTGTATTTCTACCCTGAAGTCCATTTTCAGCACAGGAAGTAAGCATATTATGTATCTTTGGAGGTCACAAGGGAATAAAACTTAAAAGAGAAACCAAGAACAGAAATTTAAAAAATACATGTTCCTAGTGACTAATAGATAACTAGAGAAATTCTAGAAAAATCAAGGAACTGAACAAACCCATGATCCACAGCATACACAGCAGTGAAAGGGAGCTTTCAAACAGTCACAGCGTCCATCAGACAACAGGAAGATCTACGGCAGCTGACTGACCACTGCATCTCAAGGAGGGAGAAAAACAAGGATAAACCAAAACCCAAATCTTAGCAGAAAATCCAAACTTAAAAATACCGAAGAGTTGGGTGTGGTGATACACACCTTTAATCCCAATGGAGGCAGAGGCAGGAGGAGGATCTCTGTACTTTCCAGGCCAGCCTGATCTACACAGTGAGTTACAAAACAGCCAGCGATACATATTGAGACCCTTTCTCAACAAAACAAAAAACCCACAAAAATCAATGAAACAACTGGGTGTTTTGAAAGGAAAGTAAAATTGTCAAATTAGGCCGTGTCGGTGGCAGTAGGGTAGACTGAAAGGAGACATTGCACACCACCACAGAAACACGCAGGATCACAAGGAATGACTACAACAACCACAAAGCTATACAACTGGAAAGCCTACAACAGAGTTAACTCGGAAGTGAATCAAGAGAAATACAAAATCTAAATAGACCAATAATGAGATGGAAACAATAAGTGATATTTCCTAAAGATGGTCCAGGACTTGGTGACTTCACTGCTGAAATTTACAAAAACAATGAACCAAGAGCTAATTCCAATGCTGCTTCCATGATTTAGAAGTTGAAACTGGAGGAACTACTGGAGGAACTACACCAAATGCATTATCTGGATACCCAGAGGAGACAAGAAGACAGCCACAGACTCACATACAAATATTCTCAATACAGTAGTACCAACTGAACTCAACAGCATAGCAAAATATAACACACCATGAGAAAAGTATTTACAAACCATCTTCTGATAAGGGATTCATTTGGAAAATACTAGAAACTCAAAAGGCCATAATGCCATAAAAACAATCCAATTTAAAAATGAGCTAAAAACCTAAATGGATACTTCTCAAAAGATAGACAAATTGCTAGTACATGAAAAAAATGCTGTCTCTCTGATCACCATGGAAACACAAATCAAAATTGCAATGAAGTAGCATGTCACCCTCATTAAAATAACTATCATAAAAAGATACAAGAAATGCTAGAGAAGACATAGAAAAAGGTAAACTCTTACATATTATTGGAAAGAATGTAGTTAGTACAGCCATTATAGAAAACACAACAATCCTCCAGACACTAAAAATGGCTGAAATTGTGAACGTTACCATGTCTATCTGAAGATGAAATATCATGTTTGTTGAGCCTATTCACATAGCTAAAAAGTGAAAATAGCTCAGATGCTCCTCAGTAGATGAAGGCCAAAGAACATGTAGATAAATGCACAGTGGAATATTATTCACTCGTAAGAAATGAAACCACGTTATTTATTGGCAGCAACATGGCTGAAACTGGAGGTCATTGTTGAATGAAACAGGCCAGACACAGGACACACACACTCATGCATTTGTGGAAATACTAAGTCAAACTCTTAGAAGAACAGAGTAGAATAGTGACCACTAGATTCAGACAAGCAGTGGGGAGGGTGGATGAAGTTCTAATGAGCTTCACACCACAGACAGGAAGGATACTTCTGGATCTTCTTTAACACAGTAGGTAACAGATAAACCACCCATATTTCACAATAATTAGAAGTGTATCTTATTGCCCTGATTTTTTATTACAGATTATATATTATATATATATTGAATTACTCTAATACAGCCCATAAAAATGTACACGTTTATCAGTAAAGCCAGATGAATCCTTGTATGTGGCATAGAAAAAGCACATGATGATTTCTCTAGTCTACTGGGCTAATGGGTCTAGAAAGGGTAACACAATGGGGATTCAGACAGGGATACAGGCAGAGAAAAACAGGCCTAACTAAGGTCTTAGCGTGAAGAAACATGTATCTTGTTACATTTAATGGTTTTACTGTCCTATTTGGGAGACTTTTAAAAAATAATCTAGTTGGATTTTCTGGGACATTTTGAAGCTTGTTTAAATTTGTCATTTCAGCTCGACGCTCTGTCTGATGACAGAGTATGTGATTTTGAAGACCCCACCTTGGCTCCTCTGAGAGATACTGAGAGGTTTGAGATTGTGCAGCGTTTGTTTGCCTCTGCCGACATTGCCCTGGAGAGGATGCACTTGTCCATTAAAGCCACCATCCTGAAGGACTCTTGCATCTTCCCACTAATTCTTCATATCACTCTAAGTGGGCTTTGCACTCTAAGCAAAGAACACGAGTAATGTCTTTGTCTGTCAGAATTATGTGCTACTGGCCAAGGCTGGGTACATTTTAGAACTGAGAAAATACTTTAGGATTTTGGGCTAAGAGTGTTGACTTTCCACACTGAATGTCTGCAAGCATTGTGAATGGTTTCTTTTCATCAGAGGCCTGGTATGCCAATAGACAGTGACCCCTGGTGACCATGGTACATTCCAACATCTGAGTCATTGAGGGAAGTGTCAAGGGCTTTGTACTCGACTCATTGGTCACTTTATTTTCCACTCACTCCTGTTATACAAAAACGGAAGAGTCTGAGACTTCAACATTCATCTTAGGCTATGAATGCTACAGGAAAGCAATTTCTCTTCTTTCAGAAATGCTGTACATTACTTGATGACTGGGAAACCTTATATGCTACCTGAGTATATGAAACAAAATTATATTAAGTAAGGCCATCTGATTTTACCCACCTCAACGTGGGGATTTAGATATATTTCTTTTATTTGATTTTGTTACGCTTTGATGAACATACTATGTCTAGAACAATTCCAGTGCATTCTGGGAATTTGTCACATGTTGCAATTTCTATCAAAGGAAATTCTGAACTATGTCTAGTTTGCTATTTATTCTGTTTTGATGTCCTTCTGCTTCAGCAGTCTTGGATAGTCTCCCCAAGCCTCCCGATTTCACTGAAAGTATTTGTTGCTATAGATCAGACTCAATGCCTCTGGGTAGAAGCAGCAGGGAGACGCATGTTAGCATGTAGTTCCCATCTCCATTTCGCCCATGCGGCCCCTTCAGATTATAAGGAAGAGTAACAAAAATGAAATAAAACGAGACTCCACCTCACGCAGCTATCTTTTACAGGGCTAAAGTTGTACCAGCAGCACTGCTCAGAAATAAACTGATCATAAATTAGGAAGGAAATGCAAATGTGTGTAGCTATGCGAAGTTGGTACTGTGACTCATTTATTTCTGACATAAGACATGAAGAGCAAGCTATGGACAGAACATATATGAATCTACAGGCGGAAAACACACATGTATGGGCATAGGAATGCATGTCTAGAATTCAGGAGAAACCTGGCAGTGGTGCATTGCAATTCAGGGACTTTTGAGATTGGGACAAAAGGCAAAAAGAGTTACTTCCTTACCTTTATATTCTGGTTGGAGTTTTATATTATCCTTCTAATGATGGGTCATATAAAATAGGAAATATGAAAGCGTTAAGTGATGGTTGTACAAAGCATGGGAACCTCAGTTGGGTCTCTGGCATCTATGTAGACTGCCAGGCATTGTGATCACCTCTGTGATACCATCACTGGAAGGCAGAGATACCAGAAAGACATCTCTAGCCTCTATGTGCAACACACACACACACACAAAGTATGGGAAAAAAAAAACAAAAAAAATTTTTCTGGAGACACCAGAAACATCCTAAAGTAGCATGTTCCTGAACATGAAGTATGGAATCCTAGAAACCAGCATGAGAGAATTGCAAAGTGCACTTCTGGAAAGGCTTCCTGCTGTACAAAGCCACACTGCTGTGTTTCAGTGGGTGCCTGCCCTCTTCCTCCAGGCCCAGTGTGAAGCTGTAACACACAGCAGGGCTGCTTGCTGAAACACAGGATTTCTCTTTCCTGGGCAGATGGGAAGTGGCCAGAGGGACTCATGCTGTCTAAGCAGAGTCTTTGTTTCTTGATCCTGTATTTTAATCTTCCCCAACTCTGAAATCCTTTTCTATGAAAGCCACCATCATGCACCAGCCAGAATAGAAACAGCAGCAAAGGGAATCTTGGCTGAAAAGTAGAGGCAGGTGAAACTTTATTTAGGTGGAAAAAATTTACATCGAGGACTTAAAAATCCATTTAAATCAAAGCTAATGCAATATCCTGTAGTTTTATCTCTTAGTTCTACCTGTAAATGAAACATTGCCAATTTTTCCAACAGCAAGTATTTCTTTAAATGCACAAAAATATTTTATCAGGAATATGTAATCTCACAAACTGAACACTGTAATAGTTTTTAACTGTATGCGGAAATATGTTGAAAGATTTATAGTGAGTTTCTGAAACATCAATACTTACTGTATTATAGGAAATTAATGTATACAAGGACAGCAGTGATGTTTCTCTTTGCAGAAACTAGTAATGCAGATATCTAGAAAGCAGGGATGCTTAACTTTTCTTTTTAAACCTTTTCATCAGAAAGTTCCTTAAGCAGCTTGGCAAGCTTCGACTTTTATAAGCATGTTGTCTTCTACTGAAAACTCCTTACAGTCGCTAAAGAGGGTGGGGTTAAAAAGAGCATGTGTTTGTGTTAGAAGGAAAGGTATGCAAAAATGAACTGGGGGTGGAGAGACAAAAAGTTTCCACAGCAAGTCATTTACATCAAATGGTCTCTGTGGGTTCTGACAATTCAAAAAGGCTTGCAGAAAATTTCATTTGTTGCTGAACACCTGTGCTGGCTCATTTTATGTCAACGTGACACAGGCTAGTCATCTGAGAGGAGGGAACCCCAATTGAGAAAATGCCTCCATAAGATCAGGCAGAAGGCAAGCCTATAGAGCACTTTCTTAATTAGAGATTGATGGGGGAGAACCCAGCTCACTGGGGATAGTGCCACCCCTGGGCTGGTGGTCCTGGGTTCTATAAGAAAGGCTGAGCAAGCCATGAGGAACAAGTAAACAGAGTTCTTCCATGGCCTCTGCATCAGCTCCTGCCTCCAAGTTCCTGCCCTGCTTGAGCTCCTGTCCAGACTTCCTTCAATGATGAACCATAATATGGAAGAGTAAGCCAAATAAACCCTTTCCTCCCCAAGCTGCTTTGGTCATGGTGCTTCATCACAGCAATAGCAAGCCTAACCAAGACAACACTATTGCTCATTTTTTTTTTTTGCAAGATATCACTTAAAAAAAAAACACATAAAACAACAAAAAACAGTGTTACAGAAGAAATAGAAACCAGCATCAATTTTTATAAGATGGCATACAGTGAAAACAATCATCTACTTTGCATTTCATGTTCAGATACATATGAGCTATTGATGTAGGAGAAACATGAACTAACAGCAGCCATGTTACGAAGGACTTACTAATAAACTTGCTCAGGAGATAATAAGTTACAAAGCAGGACTTACCTAGGGAGTGCCACCTCCACAGGAACTGGGAGATAAGCTGTGTGCTGACCAGGCTTGTCAGAAATGGCAGGAAAGAACATTTTATTCCTCAAACATAACTGGAGTTTAGGACTCCTGAGACCGTTCACTAAGACTGACCAGCTGTGAGACCCATCACCGTATCAGAATACGTGTCTCTAGGGTGGCAAGTCAAGTGAGTGGCACAGGGTGACAGTCATCATTAAGTCCTGATCTGCCCTTAGGTCTCTGTTCTTTTATCATAGTTCTGCCAAGTAGGCAAGGTGACCCTGGATAACAAGCACCCCAGACAACACTGGTGTATCTTTGCTGTGTAAATCTCCCATTTGCCCACCTGACTAGACTTATAGACTCCTGCCTCTTTAAATTGTTCATGTGTAATCTGGGGCCAGGACCTGAAAGATTTTTTTTTTTTCAAGACAGGTACAATTTCCTGTTTGAGGCTGCTTTCCCTTTGTGCATTAACTAGAACCAGGCACATGCTATTGAGGATTTTTTCCTCTATTAATTTCTATGTGCTTGGAGTGAGTTCTCACTGCGAAGGCATGTTCATTCTACAACAATACAGCATCTAACTGGCTCTATCTGTAAAGACTAAGGTATTTCTCACTTGGACCACACTTATTAGCAGTGCTACCATTAACTAGCTCTCTGACATAAGATGTAATCATGTCTTAGCTGGTAAGGTTTCTGGCTCAATGTAATTTATAGCTGGGAAGGGTTTTTGTTTGTTTCTAGGGTGTTAGCATATGCCTAGGACCATGTGTACATTAAGCTTGCAAAGCACTCTACCTCTAAGCCCCCACCCTCCTCAACTGAACAGTTTTTAATGTTGTGATCTTTCTTTCCTCTTAACTAGTTTTAAGTTTCCTCTAAGTTCTCAGGCAACCTTGACTAGTAGAGGAGGGAAGCTAGTTTTGAGGTATGGCCTATCACATTTACGCATATATTGCCTAGTCAGTTTGCCTTTGGCTCAATTGTAATAAAGGCAACTATTTCTGACTTTTGAAATGAAGGCTGGGACTACTGCTCAGTATTGGAGCATGTGCAGCATATGCAAAGTCCTATACTTACGCCCCAGGACATCTCTGCTCTGTGGCAGTAACAATTATTTATTTCAGGAGACTAAAAAAGTGGTAGTTTTATATATAAGAAATAAATGGTTAACTTCCAAGTTATAAGTGACATTTATCTTAACTATCGATGTGTTAATTCAGTTTGTGTGAGTGATTAAGAAACAACAAAGTAAAAATAAAAATAAAAATGGCCATTCTGACCTGTGTCCTGAGGTTGTCAGTTATCACATCACTGTGACACCAGCCACAAGACAATAAGCAATTAGAAAGAGAAAGAAGTATTTTCTGGATTTGGGGTCCACTAATTAGATGTAACTATTAAGTAGTTTTTCTAATAAAGATATAGGTGCCCATTAAGCTTCACACTATGGGTAAAAACCAGGTTGCAGTGTAAATTTTAGACACAAGGATAAGGAAGAGCAGCTTCAGAATGCTCTGATGTAAACATCAGAGGATTTCAAATCTGTGTGATTAGTGAACGACTTGCTTAGCAGCTAGGGACTTGGAATGGGATTCTAATGGGACTCCTAGATTAGGACCACCGAAAGGCAGATTGTCTTCCAGACTGCAGCTCAATCAAGGAGCTCTCTTAATCCTGGGGGTGGGTTCCTGAACAGTTCACCATCTGCTACTTCACCTTAGAATGAGGTGACTTTACAGGGACTGAAGGAGAAGCAACCTCGGGTAAGAGAACACATTTAATAAGTACTCTCAAAGGCTTACCACATCACAATCACAAGTTATCCTTTAGAGTTGAAGATGAAGACGGGTATTAACCTAGCCCTACACAACACATGGAAGGTAGAGGGAAATTAAATGTTCTCAAAAATCACATGGTAGGATCTTAGTCAGTAGAAGTAGCACAACTATTTTTACTTTTATAACGAGAGATTATTTTTTTTTAAGACAGTCTTGTAGTGTTTTGCCCGAGTGGTGCAACCATGCTTACCTTAGAAAAAAGAGCATCATTCTCTCGCTTTTTAGTCCACTAAGGACGTGTGATTCTGTGCATTTTTCAAAAGTCACTCCAGGATACAAAGCAACAAGATGAAATGAGAAATATTTTTAAAAGAATATAACTTTAAAGCTAAAAGAAAAATACAATTTAAAAATAACCTTACCTTAAAAAACTATAGAATTATTATCTTCAGGTGTATCACATATACTTACAAAAAGATCAATATGATGCTGAATTATTCATCAAATGTATTCTTAAAAATCTGTGAATAATGTTATATACAATAATCTCATTATTTAAAATACTGAATTTCTCCCAAGAACTCCAAATACATTACAGATGTTATAAGAATTCTCACAGCAATCCCTTGGAACAGGAGGCGCACAGGCACAGTAATCTTTAAGTCTAACTTATAGCACAATTTCACTTCAAAGTTGAAGTAAATATTTCCCAAGAGGCCTCCATCCAGAAATGTTTTTTCTTACGGAAATTAAATTCTAATAATGAAAAACAGTTTTCCGGGCTTAGTTTCTCTAGTAAAGTCTTCAGAAAGGAGATTAGTATCAGCTTCAAGGTGGAGCCAAAGCTTCTTAAAAGAATCTAAAATAGATCAGAATGTCTAGGAATTTGAAAGTAATTAAAGCCTTAGAACACTAGCTGTAACATATGGGCAAATATATTTAGCTTTATCATTCATTACTTTTGGGAAATAGTTACATATTATACACATAGCTTTTTTTGTGTGTGTGTGTGTGTGTGTATGTATATATATGTACATGTTTTTTAAAAATGAACTATTTATGTGCACAAAACTTCAGGACTGCCCTTTTCTTATTTAGTATAAAGATTAGTTACTGTGGAGGTAAGGTCCTCCAGTCTAATTCTGTATAATGAAGGACTATTTCATTAGACACAAAAAAAAGTAGATGGCTATTTTCTTGCCATTTTCAAACTTTTTATATTTTGAATTTACCCATTTAAAATAATTATAACTAATTTGGTGGCCTTGGCAATCAACTTCAATCACTAAGTCATGATACTTGTTCTACATAAAAATAAGTATCATTTTAAATTAATTTTTGAAATAAGGATCATTTCTAGTGTTGCTGGGGATTAAGCCCAGGATCTCACACATGTTAGTTAGGCACACACTCTACCAAAGTTATAACCCCACGCCCTTGTTGTTTCTTCTTTTGTTTTTTGAGACAGGGCCTTGTTATACCATGCAGGCAGGCTAGACTCCAATTTGTAATCCCCCTGCTTCAGCCTCCTGAGTGCTTGTATTACTAAGCCTGGCAAAATCATCATTTGTGGCCAGAGTAGTACCTTGTCATAATCAATGTCCAGCTATTGGATTATACTGCTAATGAGCTATTTTCTAAATATGTTTAATAACTAATTTGGCCTTTTAAAGGAAATTTTTTACAGTTTGTATAAATAACTTTACTAGACTCCAGACTCTAGGGTTTGTCCTATTTGGTTTATAATGATTTCTATTTTAGAGAGCTATGGTCAGCAATTGTATCAAGTCAGCCAAAACAGACACTCCTGATGTATCTGACATCTGATATCTAAAAACACAAAAACGGAAACTGCACAATAAAAGCATAGTAGTAACGAAGTCAAAAATTCTACTATAGGGCATTGAATATATTCCATTAGCAAAGGTTAAATGACTTGTTCAGAGACATCATTTCTACAGGCATTTGTACACTTGAAAATGAAAAAATACATATAACTATTAGTTGTAAAGAAACCATGCCCTGAATGCTGAATGTGGACACTCATCCCACAGTACATTTATGAATACACATACAAAATGTTTTCCCAAAGAACATGCATGTATGTGTACATTTTACCTATCACCAATTATTGAACACCACTGTAAGCCCTTTCATCTTCAGTTATTATAAATGTGTTATGTTAGACCCTTCCCAGGAGAGAAGTATGAATTTCCTTGATCACAACACCTAGGAAGAATCCTGGTATGAAGCCTGATGGTTCCTACAGACTCAGGTGGGGACTTGAGTTACAAGTTCAGTGAGTCTTCACTGAGAAACAGTTGTACCTTCTTAATATTGGCATTTATAGGATAGTGAACTAAACTGTATCACTTCATTAGGAGAAATCTGTGATTAATTACGTCATCAATCATGAGTATCATTTATAATAGAAACAATGTTAAGCAGAGATGATACGCCAGATAATATACATTTTTGTATCACATGAAAAGGATATAAATACGTATGCAACTACTGTTTCTGTTGCATCAAGATGGTAGAGATATTTGTGGATAGACTGCTGTGCAGATATAATTTTCCCAAAGCTGCTTAGAAAGGCTTCAAGAAATAGCATGAAGGTACATTGGGGAATACAGTACATTTCCTGAGAGCACAGAACTGAAATTTCTCTCCAAACTTACATTACAGTGTATTGAAACATTAAGTCACAAGGTGCCATGTAAACACTGTGCTTTGACTTACGTTGCTTTGAGAATCCAATAATTTTAGCAAATACATGTAGTTTAAAAAGTTATTAAGAGTGTATGATCCACTTTGTTAACAATTTCCTGTCCCAGAAAAAAGAAAAAGAATATTTTGGCTATGAAATTCTAGAATTAAAATTTAAAAGCCTCAAGATTCCCTTTATTAACAATATGGTAACTTAGGTGTTTTATTATGAATAGAAAATACTGTGTGAATATTGCTTACTACCATATATATGCACATATGTATGCATGTATGTATATATCTATATCAATATCTTTATATAGATGGATATATAACTTTGATGAGGGGAAAAACAAAATCAGAATTCAGGTGTCTGGAGCCTGTCACCAAAGACACTCATCAATATTTAAGCATCAAACCCTTTAAAATGTGACTATTCTGAAATGAAAAGCTAGCAGCAATATAAAATAAGGTTAGCTTAGTCAGTGATGAGCTGCATCACTAAACGCATATATTTAAGGAAGAATATATATCATTTAAGACTCCTAGAGGAGAATATCCACCAAGGTGAACGTGGGAATCTGCACACTGGCAATGCAGCTAAAGGATTTGGTTCCTAATCATTAAGTAACAAAAAAGTGTATGTCCTAACAGAAATCTCGAGTACAGAACATCATTTAGTATATATAATGTATGTGTTGTGAGTGTATATATGAATAGCTGGCAATTATTTCCAAATTTTGTAAACTGTTCAAAGGATTTGGTTTTCGACAAAACAGAGAACAAATACCCTAACAAATCACTTCCCATTTCATAAATCACATCTGATGATTAACAAACAGCTTGCAGCTTAGAAACATCTTTAAATATCACAAACATATGCAGAGGCATATTTTTGCTGACTATATCCTTAAAAAACTGACTGAAGTAATAGGTTTGAAACTTTTATATTTGAAAATAAGTAAACGTTAAGGTGAGTGAAGTTCTGCAGATAAGGCACTCTCTGTCTGCATGACCTTGCTTCCAACCCGAGCTCACAAAGTAACTAATGTGCAACATTAGTCTGCATCAGCAATCACTGCGACAAATGAAAAGAATAAGCCCCTAGAGAGTGCAAGCTATTGCTCTTCATTGTATTCACTAGAGAAAGAAAGGAGGGGGGAGCTGAGCTCTCTGCACAAACAGGAAAGAATAGCCATACTCTGGAGTAAGAGGTGGCCTTGAAAAGACTGGATGTCAGATTACTATAGAAGTGGATTAGCTATAGCACTGATATTCAAATTCTGCTTCTGTAAGAAGTCTGATTAAGAAGGTCAGTAACTACTAATTTTTTCTAATGAGGATAATTGACCCTTTACTAAACACTGAAGAGAATGATAGCTTTACAAAACTATTTCAAGTATTCATTATCACAGTGAAAATGTGAGACCAATGTTAGAGAGAATGATCTGAAAATTCCTTTGATGAAAAAGGTAAGGGTACTAAATCAAAACCTACAAAATGCTTGAACGCATTTCTTTATGTGATATGAATAGAAAGATTATCCATAAAAAGTTAGAAAAATTAAGAGAAATTATATATTAGTACACCTTCCCAACCACAATTATATAAAAATTCCACCTAGTGCACTGTCATTTCAATCTACATAATAAAAATGCCTCCATGTGGCAGACGCCTTCTACCTCTGCATGTATTCTCCCAGTAGAAGGTTTACTTGTTGAGTCACTTTTTAAAAGTTTTATTTAACTGTTAGCCTTATCGAATCATCAGTACACCCAGCTAATAGGGACCCACTGTGGCTCCATTCTTAGTTTCTCAATGGCAGTTTGCAGTTTCTCAAAGGCTTTGTCTAGATTGTCGTTTACGATGATCAAATCAAAGTAGTGGTTGTAAGCTCTCTGAATCCGTGCACTTTCATCCACTGTTTTCTTCAAATCAGAGTCCTGTGAATGTTAAAAAAAAAGTTTGCATTGTAATACACACTGACTTATTCAGACTAACGTGAGTACAAAATGAAGGGGTTGGGTATTTGTTGGAATTCAGATGCCAATTCTCAATATCTACCCTACTATACAGTGCTGAAGGTGTTACCAGATATATCTGTTCATGTTGCAATCTTTCCAGCTACTTCCATGATTTATGACTATTCTACACCTTCTGTTCTGCTGGCATTAGAATGAAATTCCACTTTATTAGGGTGAGTCCAAGATAATGCAAGAATTACTACAGATGCCTGACTTCTGGCTGACTTCTACACACTTCTTTTCAAAAGAGTATTATTATCTGATGACCTGGGTAAAGCCAGGACCCCAGCCTGTAGTGGCTGTTCAACTCAAAGTCCATTTGCCTCTTGTCACTTAGAAAGGCAGACTCTTTAAAGTGTGATTTGAAGACTCTAGGCTGTGCCCAAACACACACCCATAGATGACTTTATTTCTGAGGTTACGGTTTGCATTTCATCAAGTACTCCTGGGTGGTTTGGAACAACACAGGGAGTGGAGTACCTAAGGATGGGTTTCCATAAACTTCCACTACACCTTCACATGTAATCCTCAAGCAGGAATTGGGATCCTATTAATGTCTGCAAAGTCTCAGAATCAGTAGATAAAAGTGAAGCAGAAAGGGCTCCTGCTTTTTGGTAGAAAAGGTAGATGAAGGACAAATAGAAAATTTGCAACTTGTAAGTACTCTAGAAGAAAACACACTTAGGCACAAAGACTTTTAAAAGATCTACATTTAGACAGAGTGATGACAGTTAAGCTAAGATCCAAGGAAGAAAGAAGGTTCCAGGATTACACAGGGCTGTAGATGGAAAGACTACAATGTATACATTCCAACACTGATCTTTTTCATGGTATAAAACTCAAGTTCTGTTATAAAGTGAAGGACTGTCACATACAGGCAATATTGTTTCAAATCCTAATTATATCTGGTAAATCAATTTTCATTCTGTAGCACTTTATATAGTACAGTGACATTCTAAGTATGATTAGATGGAATTAAACATACTCAGAAGAAAAGAGAAAATAAAAGTGTTAACTTGAAAAGAGCCTCCTACCGTCAAAAGTTTGGTGGTGATTCCTGCATCCACCACAGCCTTGTGCATGGCACGCAGGGTCTCTAGCTCTGGAGCAGCAATAAATACCACATAAGGCATGAACTCAGATGTCCTCAACACTTTCAATGCCTGTGCAAAAGTAATTACAAACCCATTTATAGAATGTCAGAACGTGAAGTGTGCTGGCCGTTAGTACAAACACAAGTCTACCTGTCTCTCTCCTAAGGTTAAGAATATAACTTACTGCCTGTGCCCTCTGTCCTAACTCGACACAGTACTCCCCTAAATTGTCAAGTCGTTTACTTTATTGTAAAATCAAGTGTTATTAATCTTTGCTCTTGTTGGCTGTCTGACGTTTATTTATGTATCGAGCTATGGACTCATAATAAAGTTGAGAAAGAACCACATTCCCAGCTTGATAAAACACACTCCCCATACCCTATATACAGTCAAAAACTCCCCAGGAAAATAAAAATTAAAAACAGCTTTGGAATTCATGCAACTCACTTGTGGGTTGACATCCAAAATGCAAGTCCGTCCAGTTTGTACAACTTCGAGAATAGAATCAATCTTAGTTCCATAGAGGTTTCCTTCATATTCCCCATGTTCCAAATACTTTCCAGCTTTAATATCTGCTTCCATCTCTGACCGGGACACAAATTTATATGCCTGTCCATCCTTTTCATCTTCTCTTGGCTTCCGTGAAGTAACTAGAATAAAACAGTGTCGAGAACTTGCACAAGGCCACTGTAGATTGCGAAACACAGACTAAAACACACGGACAACTTTGCATGTTTCATTTAGTACATGGACTTAGCTAAATTCATCTACCTCCTGGTTTTGGAAATAAAGTTTCAGACCACAGCCACGCACATTTGTTTATTCATTGTCCACATTTTCTTTTCCATTAAAATAGTAGCTATGCTACAGACTGTATGGCCTTTGGACAGGAATGCTTGCTGATCTCTAATTTAGAAGAATGTTTAAAGGGATGGTTCTCAATATAAACTTTGTATCCAAAGTGTAATTTTTAATTCAACTTGAAATTTAAAACATACTTATTTAGAAGTCCTAGGCCTGGCGCCAGTGAATAAATACCTTTTTCTTATGAATGATGCTCTATTTCTTGAAGATTCTATTATAGCCTCCCTTTCCAGTTAAACATTCTTAATTGACTGCCCAAAGGTGAGCAAAGTTCTCCGAAAATTCAGAAACAAACAAAAAAACATGTCTGTACTGACTATGGACAGATTTTTGTCCCTTGTCATTGTTCCTTAAACAATACAGCTTAACAGCTATTTATAAATCACTTAACATTATATATATATAGGTATCATAAATAATTCAAATGACTTAAGCATCTGCAGAAAGTTTTGCATGGGGCATATACAAAATTCTATGGAACTTGAAATATTTCTGGATTTTGGTATTTTGGGGAGCGAAGTGGGGGGTGAGTGTGGTTATCCTGGAACCGGTACAGAGAAGATTGCAGAAGCTATGGTATAAGATCTTGGCGGCAAGGTTCCAAGAGAATAATTAGAAATTCTAATACTCTTAGCCAAGAAAATTTGTAGTAAGGAAATCTCCAATGGACTCTAAAAAAAAGACATTGAAGACACAGTACTTGGAAAGTCAAGACAAATAACTCCAGCAAGCAAGATCTTTTGCAACAATACTCTTTCTCTTTTCTTTTAGCACTCACTTCTTACAACATAGCTCACGAGAAAATGAAGTAGCAGAGGAGAACATAAACCAGGTAATAAAAAAAGTCATAGCCCGCCCTTCCCAATACAGCTACTATCTACAGTCAAGAAGATCCATGAGGAACGCAGGAACAGTGCACTGGAATCCTGGCTTCAGTTTTGACCGGAATTAGTCTTTTTTGTTTTTAATGCCTAAAAATGAGATTTGTTTAACAAGATGCCACAATTATGAAAATGAAAGAACCAGAAAGTTATTGACTCTTCTAGAGGCCTGAAGGTAAAGAAGGGAAAAGGAGCACAGATCATCAGAGGCTACATAAAAGTTCTTTCCTTACTGAGCTCAATCATTCAACAAAGCAGTTTTACTAGCTGACACAACATGAGTCAGGACACTAGGAAGAAAGCTTATCTGTGTACTTAAACAAGGTAAAAGCAGACAGATGTTCCTCCAAACTCAAGGCAAAGCTTTTCTTTTCTATGTTCTATTCCTGACAGAAGCTTAAATCACTGGATGAAAGTTTGTGGAAAAGAGCCGCACTGTTTCAAAGTATTTCTGAACAGGCTGCTTAACTGGAAACTACAGATTTGCCGTGGAAAAATCTACCAGATGTCACAGTAATTGAATCAATGACCAACATTAGCATCAACAATGGGGCACAAAGACAAGATGCAACTCTCCTGATGAGTACCGGAGGTTAGGAGGAAACAATTGGGCAAATTCACACTAAGGGACATTTACAGTATTAGTAATTACATTAAATAGATAAAACTCGAAGACATTGGCAAAATAGATTGGAAAAACTGATCAAACTATATGCTGTTTACAAAAGACATTTTATACTTAAAGACACAAGTATGTTGGAAGTAAAGGATAAAAAAGACATACATGCAAGCAGTACCCAGAGACAGCTACACACATCAGACAAAACCAACACTGAGACAGAAAGTTATTGCTGGAGACAATGAAAAACATTTTACAAAGACAAAGGCATCGATTCATCCAGAAGTAAGATGTTCATAAACACA